GTCATAGACCAAAAAGAAAATTAATAAAACAATTTGATTTGTTAAACATAACGCCAAGCTATAAAAGGGAACGTGGTATTCTGAAAAATTTGATACATACAGGGTGAGATGACAAAACTGCAAACAACTTCAGACTGCTGTCATTTCTAAGCCACTCATCCGACAGCTGTTAAAAATATTCCAGTGACAGCTAATTATATTGTTTACAAGCGTACAAAAGCATTTTTGGTGAGAATTTTCCAGAAAAAAAGTTATTCAAGCGTGATTTCTTTACATTTGGCTGGAAAACCACAAGTGGCTATCGTTAGAGCACTGCAGCATTTAAATGTGAATAAGTCTTTTGTATCTCGCATCATCGCTCGTTACCGTGATACTGTTAGCGGAGCCTGACGTCAAGGAAGTGGACGGAAGTAAACAGCCGAAATCGTTCGAAAAGTAAAGAAGCGACTTGATCGAAACCCGCGTCGCAATGGCCGAAAAATGGCTCGTGAGCTGGACATATCGCAATATTCCATTCGTCAAATATTGAAAAATGAGCTCGGGGTAAAGCCATTGAAATTCCAAAAAGAAAAAGAACTTACACCGCAACGGAAACAAAATCGACTCAAAAGAGCTAAAGATTTGCTTCGCTTGGCCGAAAGAGGTGGACTGCTAAACTTGGTTTTCTTAGATGAGAAAAAATTCGTTGTCCAGGAGTTTGTAAACAAACAAAATGATCGTGTTTACTTGCCAAAGAGGTCAGCTGAAAATGTGCACCTTCGGTTGGCCACCAGAACTCAAGCGCCGGCCATGGTGATGGTGTGGGACGTCATAACAGCCGATGGTCGCTCTCCTCTCGTATTAATCGACCGTGGCATTAGAATAAATCCAGAATATTATCGCGAAAATATTCTGGAGGGTGTATTAAAGCCTTGGGCAAGCAAACATTTTTGCCGCAGAACTTGGACATTCCAACAGGACTCAGCACCATTGCACTCAGCACACGCCACCCAAGAATGGTTACAATATGAGGTTCCTCGCTTCATTTCCAGCGCACAATGGCCACCAAAATCTTCGAATACCAATCCTCCGGACTATTGTGTCTGGAGTATTTTGGAAAGCTAGGTTGGCACTAAAAAATACCAAAGGATCGATCACCTCAAGCAAGCGATTCGCCGGGAATGGGCCAAAATACCGCAGAGCAACATTAGGGCAGCGTGTGACGATTAAAGGCCATAATTCGTGCCAAAGGTGACCAATTCGAACAAATCTAAACTTTTTCTAAAATTTAATGTTATTTCCGACATATTTCGCTTTCATTCAATAAAAGTAAAAACAAAAAGTTAAACTTGTGGCGTTTGAGTTTGTTGTAGTTTTTTTTTATCTCACCCTGTATTTGTAGATGGCCATACCCTACAACTTGATTGTTAGAAGCATTTAAGGGGAGAATTACAGCCTGTTCTACAATTCTTTCGAATATATAATTTTCCCTTGAATGTCAATTGTCCTCTCCAGAGCTTTTACTTCACCATAACAATATCTATGAGACTTCGTCAGCATCCTGATTTTTTATTTTTTTTTTTATTTTTTTTTTTTTTTTTTTTTTTGTTCAAAGTCGAATATGCAGCATATTCGACTAAACCAGATTAAAATTGATCTCTTCTCGATCTAATCGAACTTTTCCATTTTTTTCACGTTAACTCCAAAAATGTCAATCATTATCACATTCGAACGTTGAAACATGTCTAGGACCGAATTAAACATTGTATTTTAGTTTTGGTCACAACGGGTTTGATTCCGATTTGTTCTCACCTACTTTTCAAAATAAAAATCCAATATTACAAATAAATTATGCATTTCTCACTCCGCGGAGATTGTTGCCTGGCTGCCATTCTATCAAAGGCCAAGTTAAACCAGTTTGATGGCGGATTCAATTGATGAATTTCTGGCCATTGTCTGTTCCCAACGAAAAAATAAAGAAAAATAGCTAATCAAGCGACTGACTGCTGGCTGGCACTCCAACATTGCTCCATGTACTCGAACTCGAACTTGTATCACCACACCACTTGTGGAGAATGGCTAGTTATATTAGATTCTAATATAATATCGCTTAAATTTTTCTGTAAATAACTTTGCATAGAACGGTAACAAATGAAATAATTAGAGTGTGCACATGATAGGCTGCATGTAATTAGCCGCTCCTTGAGTATGGCCACCACATGCAGTTAAGATGTTAATGGCTTAGAATAAAAAAGAAGTGGGGTCAACGTCAAAGACCCCAAAGCTTTGTTATAGCACTGTTTCAACAAAGCCACAAGGAGGGAGCATTACCGTTATGTTTGCAATCCAACCAAACAAAAGGTTTACTTTTTTGGTAAAGTTGTTTTCGATTTTTTCGTGATTTGAATTTATTAAGGTTTTTGTCTCCATTGACGGAATGGTGGTCTTGTTTGTTCAACAAACATTTGCCGCCGCAACGAAATCTAACATCAATCCCCCAAGGAGTGGCTCAATCACAGTTACAACAAACCCCAAAATGGTGGGCATAAACTGTTGCTTTTACCTTCCTTTTTTGGTTACACTACAAAAGGAAACTAAAAACAAATGGAAATTTTGGGTTAAATTAACGAAACTTATTTTAGAATTATAATACCCACATACTACCTTCGGCATTCTTATCCAGAAAAATGTCATCCAAAAGTAAATCTGAAGAGTTATTCGTTACAAGGATCAAACAAGTAAATTATCGGTTATCCTATAAAAAAAATTTGGCATTACAGATTTCAAAAATCTTTTTTTTATAAAAATTTTGGAAGGGACAGGTATGTCCCCAAGGTCTACAAATTGTGAAAACAAAAAAATCTAAGAAAGGCTTATGAAAAAACAAAATTTTTAATTTTGTATAGGATTAATTGAATTATTCCCAAAAGGCAATTTATTGATAAAAAATGGAAATTATAAATTAAAATGAATCTGTTGTCGTGTAAAAGTTACAAACTTTTCCCGAAGAAAAAAAAAACATTTTTTAACTTTTGAGTTTAGCCATGGTAAAGCGACTATCATACCGCTCATTTATTAAAAGGCTAGCAAGTGCCCACAACTTCGTCAGCGAAAAGTCCACCCTAAAATTCTAGATTCGTTCGAACAGTTCGTTTAGAAACCAACAGTAATATCAAAATTTCAGGATTCAAGCTCTATACATTCACTCAACGTCTAATTTAGTGTAATTTAGTACTGTTCGTACAATTATAGTACCCATATCCAAACTCACCTCCAAATCTTAACCTCATATTGCAACAGTTATCAAAATATCAAATTTCTGAATTTTATCTCTCACCCCTTAATCAATACCAAATTTAGTACTATATAGTACTTTTAGTACAATTATAGTACACATTTCCAAATACAAACAACCAACAGTGATCTCAACATCAAATTTTAATATTTAAGCTCTATTCAGTACTATTTAGTACATTCCGAACAATCTTAGTACACATGTCCAAAACCACCTAGTTCTCAGTGACCTAGATAACAAATTTCAAAATTCAATCTCTATCCCAATACCCAACGGCACATTTTGCGCTTTTCGTACATTCACAGTACGAATTTCGAAAACCAAACCTACTTCTCTCCACTACAGACACCAACAGTATAAAATTTTGCGATTTCAGATCAATCCCTTTACCTAATTCCAATTTAGTAATATATAATTCCTTTTGTACATTTAAGGCACGCATTTTCAAAATAATCTCCATATCTTAACCTCAGATACCAACAGTGACGTGAATATCGAATTTGAGGATTCCAGCCCTATTCTTTCATCCAATATTAAATTTAGTACAGTTTAGTACTTTTCGTACAACTATAGAACACATATCCAAAACCCGCTCCTTCTCTCAAATTATCAAATTTCATACTATAAGCTCTATCCTTTCACCCAGTACCAAATATACTACTATTATATATATTATATATATACTACAATTATAGTATACATTTCCAAAACCACCTCCATATCTCAATTCTAGATACGAACAACATCAAATTTCGGATTCCAGTTCTATCCCTTAACTCAATACCAACCTTAGGACTATTTAGTACTATTCCAACAAATGTAAGAATAATTTTATCTCTTTACCCAAGACCAAATATTCCAGCTCTATCGGGTTTTTCAAAATTTAAATTGTACCAAATTCAGTACTAATTAGTAGACATAAGAACGAATTTCCAAAAATACCTACATACGTCAGTCATTCAATGCAATAGTAATCTTAATTCTAAAACAGAAAAATAACCGGTTTGTATAATCGATATGTTTATCGATTCTACTCCTCAACCTTGATTCTCATTCCAAATTTCAGGTTTTTAGCTTTAACCGTTCACACGATTCGAAATGGTACCAAATCTGGTAAATTTTAGTACTTTTCGTACACGTACAGTGCGAATTTCCCAAAACTCTTTAGTACATTCATCATACGCTTTATTAGTGACCCTCATTCCAAATTGAAGTGAGTTCTAGCTCGTACATTTTAGTACTTTTCGTACCGTTCTATTACGAGTTTCGGCTCAATCCTAGCTATTACTCTCGAATCGGTCTGAAATTTATACCATTTGTCGGTGTTTCCTAAATATGCACCTGTTCAAGGGAGAAAGTCCTAAATCCCGGACTAAGGCTGGTTATTCTGAAAAACTTTAAGTTTTAAGAAAAAGTTAGGAATTTATATCTGTCCATAGGAGAAAGCCTTTAATTCTGACCGAAGGCTGCTACCAATGTATATTTTTAGTTTTCCTAGGATACTTGCTTTTATTTGATACCCATGCTGGGTCCAAAAACCCGGTTGAATTTCGGTTTTTTAGCCGAAAATTCGGGTAAAGAAACCTGTTTATGACCCCCATTTTTTTAATCAGGAGACCAAGATCTATCTACAGGAAAAAATCAGATCGATCCGTAAGTGATAGCTAAATTAGAACTGTTCCCGAACTTTCCAAAAACCCAGCCTTATCTCAAACCTTCGGACCAAGAGTGGCCCTCACCCAAAATTTCAAGATTCTTGCTTCATTCTAATTGTAAGCCATTAGGGATAATTTTGTTTGCTTCATTTATGAGGCTTCTCTTTGTTATCAGTTTACTGGTCATCATTCCGTTTCGTATCTGATAATATCGAATGTTTACCAAAAGGCACACGCCAATGCTGCATATTTAAATACCTCCATCGATAATTACAATAAACTGGAAATATTTCGAAACATGTTCAGTAATTTGGTAACATTACACGATTCAACATCCTGCAATCGGCGTGATGAAATATCTTTGGATTCACCTTTTGGTATGTTTCGGTTTGAAATATGGCAGCGCCCAAGGATTTGGCATGAATCTCATGAAGGTGGCTGAAGATGATCCGGGACAAATCGTTTGTACTGTGGCTTTGTTAGAGAAATATTTTCATTCTGGCGAAGCCCTATCAGGGGCGGTGCTACATTATACCATTACCTCGGCATCGTTGCATTTGCAAAAGTCGTTGTTACAGGCACTACATTCATTGCCAAAAAACCCCTGGTCCATTGTGGTCAGAGAGTCCAATAAACGAGGTGACTCCGATGTGCCCAATTTCATTTTACACGAAAAGCCACAGTGCTATTTCATGATCATCGACAATATGGACGATGAGGATATGGATGAGATATTTGAAAATTGGAAGTTGAGCATCAACTGGAATCCGTTGGCCCAATTTGTGGTGTATTTGTCGTCGGTGGAAGAGACTGCCGAGGAAATGACAGATATAATGATAGAAGTTCTCTTGAATTTCATGAACAAGAAGATCTACAACGTTAATGTGATTGGGCAAAATGAGGAGGAGACCTATTATTATGGCAAGTCAGTGTTTCCCTATCATCCGGACAATAATTGTGGTAATCGTGTGATAACCATAGAGACATTAGATTTGTGTGATTATCAGGATACAGATAAATTTGATGAGGATGAAGATGAGGAGGAGGATGAAGAAGAAGAGGGAGAGGGAGAGGAGGAGGAGGAGGGGGAGGAGAATGAAGGGGAAGAGGAAGATCATTCAAAGGCTGAAGATGAATCTGGGTCGGATGATGATGATGATAGTGGAAAAGAAGGAGGAGAAGAAGATGAAGAAGAGAAAAATACATCGGAGAGTGAAGACAGCAATGAAATGCCAGAGGATGGAAACATGGAAGGGAAAGGTGAGCAACCACAGGAAGAGTCTGCAGAGGACCCCAACGAAATGACTTCAAAAACAACAGAAACACACTCGGAAGAAGTTGAAGAATCCGCTTCGGAACATGAAACTCAAAGTGAAAACCCCAATGATGATAGGGATGAAGTGGGTGAGGAAGAAACTTCTTTGGAGCAAGAAAAATCTAATAAAGACAATGAAAGTAAGGAAACAACTTCCGACAAATCGGAAGAAACTTCGTCTGAAACTTCTAAAGAAATTTCCTCCTTGAGACCCAAAGTAAATACCGATCTAATTGAAGAAACGTCTACTACCACATTCTCACATGATGTAAATGAAAGTACGGCTAAATACTCAAGCGAGGACAAAGAAACATCATCGGACGAACTTGAAGGAAATGCCGAAGATTTAGATCCCACAACAGAACATGGTTCCCACGATAACGTTGATGTGGCTACCGAAAAGAATTCTGCATTAGATGCAGCAACAACAAATGCAAATAATTTCGACACTACCCAATCACCAATTGGGCGCCAATCGGAGGAAGATGTTTCCAATGAGTCGCATGAAAGCGAAGAGAATTTGGGTGATACGAACGTATCATTTCAAGAAAACTCACAAGAAGCTTATTCTGAAGACCTGCAAGCCTTTAATTCTAAAGTTGAGGAAAAAGATAACAAACGGCTCATTCGTTCTAAAAATAACGCAATCTTCTCAGGCAAATTTACAAAAAATAAAGGATTTGATTCAACAAATTTCATTACTTCTGAGGTCCAAACAATTAACATGAATAATCTCAGCAACACTTCTCAGAATCAGAAACCAGTCTCACAAATACCCACTCCTCCAACTTATCACTTCAATTCCCGCTCTGATTCGGAAGATTTGAACTCAGTTACATCTAATTCCTTAAAACCCCCATCTCGAAAAATCAAACGTGAAACGCAATCCGAAGAACCCAAATTCTACATTGAAGAAATGTATCGGGCGTTGTTTTTGGATAAATTCCCTAAAGATTTAAGTGGCTGCCCCTTGGTGGCCGCCTATCGTCCCTGGGAACCCTTCATATTCAACGAAGCTTTGCATGATGCCATACCATCAAATAATAAAAATGAAAAACCTTTAGAATCGGAGGACAATAATGCCGAAGATGATTACGGCGATGATGAAAACTATATGGAGGGTGATGATAATGCTGTAGAGTCGGATTACAAGTCATATGAGGATGATTTAACTGCCATCGGTGTGGAAGTCCGTCTGAATGGCATTGAATATAAAATGATACAGACGATAGCCGAACGACTGCACATCAGCATCGATATGCAGGTGGAGAACACAAATGTCTATCATTTGTTTCAGCAGCTGATTGATGGGTAGGTTCTTAGATTTTTTTAGACTTAATACGTTTTAAGACATTTAGAGTTTGTCTGTGTGTGCACCTGATAACATTCCGATATGGTCCGAAATTGGTGCATATTTCTAACAAGCTTTGATTCAAAGATGGAATATATCGGGACATTCTTTCAGGTACCTTACCCACAGAACCTCTAAAAATTTACAAACCATTCAAAAAACCCCGCCAAATCTCAAACACAGATACCATTATTAATCTCTCGAAGATGGAATATACCGGTCCATTCTTTCTGTTATCTTCCCCACAGAAGCTCTAACAATTTACAAACCATTCAAAATACTCACATTCATTTTCAAACCACCGCCAAGTCTCAAACTCAGATACCATTATTAATCTCAATATCAAATTTCAGAATTTTTATATCTATCCCTTCACCCAATACTAAATTTAGTACCATTTAGTACTTTTCGTACAATTATTAGTACATATTTCCGAAACCACCTCCATATGTCCTGGTTACATGTGAACATCGACCCTAATACCAAATTTCAGATTTCAGTTCACCCAGTACCTATTTGTACCAAATATAGTACTATTTAGTACTTTTCATATACTTGTAGCACACATTTTCAAAACCACCTTTTTATCAAAAATCAACCACTAACAGAATTTCAAAATTCCAACTCCATCCGTTCAGCCCAAACCAAACTGTACCAAATTTAGTACCGTTTAGTACAGTTTACTCACTTAGTACACATTCCCAAAATCACCTTCATAAACTTACTTTCCAACCTTGTTTCAATTTTCAAGTTTTTAGTTTTACCCGTCACATAAAACCAAATGGTACCATTTTGAAGTTTAGTGTCATTTTCGAACTTTTCGTAACCTTAAAGTTCAAATTTCCAAATACCCTTTGAACATGTGATGTGCATTCCATTAGTGGCTCTTATTCCAAATTTACTTTAATTTATTTTATTGTAAATTTTAGAACTTTTCGTACCCTTTCTGCACGAATTAAAAAAACAGCCTTATTACACGCCAGCCTCGTCTAACCCTCGTGCAAAAGTTCAAGATTCTCAGTCAGTTATTTCACTACTCTTGGTCACATTCCGGGGCATAAATCTGAAGCAAACCGACTAATACTTTTTAAAAATTAAAATTTTTAACCTCGTTAAAATAGTAGCTAAATCTGCAAAATTAATTTATTTCTGGTGTCTCAAACTGCTTTCTGGCGCCCAAACCAAAAAAATTCAAAGTTATGACCTAATTTAAATTTTTTTAACCAATTTTCACCCCTGAATAGATAATTAGTTTTTAAACTTCCAAATTTATTTTCCAGCGACATTGAAATGGTAATTGGTGGCATCGATGAGGATCCCAGCATCAGTCAATATGTGTCTAGTACAATACCCTATCTGCAAGATGACCTGACGTGGTGTGTGGCCAAGGCCAGGCGTTCGCATAATCTCTTCAATTTCATGTCCACCTTTGATGCCAAAGCATGGTTACTTACGCTCACCTTTATACTTACCGCCTCCCTGAGCATAGCCATGTCCCAGAAATTCCTGAAACTTCGTTTGCACATCATGAAAAGCTATTTCAGCATCAATATCTATGTAATGGGTGTTGTGCTGAGTCAAGCGGTGAATTTGCCCCGCATACCTACCAGCCTGCAGCTGTGCTTTGGCACCACTTTCTTCATGGGTCTCATTTTCAGCAATGTTTACCAGAGCTTTTTGATTAGCACCCTTACAACGCCGAAATCTTCCTATCAAATTAGTCACATCGAAGAGATCTACGCCAATCGCATGAACGTCATGGGCAGTGTGGACAATGTGCGTCACTTGAGCAAGGAGGGTGAGGTGGGTGGCCAATCGACAAATCAATAGAATTACAATTTTGAAAAATTTAATTGATTTTTTCCCCTCTCCCCATTCAGACATTCCGCTATGTTCGCGAACATTTCCACATGTGCTACAACATTGAAGAGTGCCTGCACCGGGCAGCTGTTGATCCCAAATTGGCTGTGGCAGTTTCACGACAGCACTCCTTCTACAATCCCCGCATACCGCGTGACAATCTCTACTGCTTCGATCGCAACGAGAACATCTATGTTTATCTGGTGACCATGTTGTTGCCGAAGAAGTTCCATTTGCTGCACAAAATCAATCCGGTCATACAGCACATCATTGAGTCGGGTCATCTGCACAAATGGGCCCGTGATTTGGATATGCGTCGTAAAATCGTTGAGGAAATCCAACGTGCCCATGAGGAGCCATTTAAAAGTTTAACCCTGGACCAGGTTATTGGTCCGTTTGCTTTACATTTTATCCTGCTGTTGTTTGCCTTGTTTGTATTTGGCGTGGAACTCTTGGTCCACTGGCTGGTGGTGCAGCGGAGGACAAGATTGAAGATTGCCAAATGTCTTCACAGGAAATTTCTGTAAGGGAGAGGATTGATCAACGTTATTATTCAGGAGTTTTAATATTCTGTAAATTGAAAAAAAGAATCGTAGATGTGATACCTGGCGCAGAACAATGTATTTGTCAGGGAATGTCATGTCATCAGTAATATCCGAAAAAGGACTAAAAAATTGATATATTTTCACTCGAAGGTACTCTAGTGTCACATATCAACATCTTGATGGTATTCACGGCTTTTGCATAAATTCCAGGCTTGTAGAAAAACGTAAAATAATAATCTTATCTGAAATAAAATCAATTATAATTATTGTCGCCAGTCGCACAAAAATTCAAATTCTTTTAGTGTCTCCAAAGGTCCCGAAAGAGTAAAAATCTGGAATTATCTTGACATTTTATACCTTCAGCCGTTTGGCACATATAATTTGATATGGCCAAAATATCTGTCCGGTTAAATAGAAAATGTTGACATGTGTGAGGTGACAAATATAGTGGACCAAAATAACCACTTCCTCCAATTCTGAAAAAAAAAAATTGGGATGTGTGAATTTTGAAGAAAATCGGATGCTAATTCCGCATTATATGTGCCTTTTGCTATTCAAAATTTAGACCACTTTGTTTTGGAGGTACCAGAGGGGGTGAAGCGACAGATCCCATCTTTACAACGGATTTTGGTCCTTGAGATCTAGGGTCTAAAAGAGTTATTTCGATGAGACAAGTTTTGGCCGTATCAAATCATATATACCCTCTGTAGACATATAGCTGAGGGTTAAAAATTATCTAGAAATAAAAATTCGAATGACAGTCACTGATGCAGCGCAGGATAGATGTACCAAAGGGTTTATGGACATTTTATCTTTAGGTAACGAAAAGTTCTAAATTGGTACTAAATTTCTAAAATTTTACCATTTATTATTATTTGAACGGATGGAGAATTTGGTATGCGAATCAAGGTTGGAAAGTAAGTATGATATATGATGGTTTTTATACCCTCAGGAATATATCTAGAGAGGGTATATATTATTTGATACGGCCAAAACGTGCCTCATCGAAATAAGGGTTTAAGACCATGGGTCTCTTTGGACCAAATCGGTTTCAGTATATTTGGAGTCGATCTAGCGTTGTTCATCCGTCCGTCTGTCTGTCTGTCTGGCTGGCTGGTGCTCACGGTAACTCTCGAAGGGACTATCCGATCCAAACATGCTACACCGTAATATTATTGTCGAACTTAAATCGAGTTCGAGATGGGCAATATCGGTCCACTCCTTCTGGAAGAAAGAGAAAGAATAATCCAATTTTGCTCCAACTTTACAAACCCTAATATTTGCATCAGTGCTAGGTCAGGTGTGAAAATGGACAATATCGGTCCACTCCATACAGTACCTCCCCCACAACATTTGTTGCAAAATAGTCAGGCTTTATACCTTTGTTGTTGTTTTTATAAAAACAACGTTTGTTTATTAGTGGAGAATGAAAGTAATGTTTACCAGGGGGTAAGGCAGGGAAGGTTTCGGAAAGAGCCACCAATCCTCATCAGTTCCCTTTTTTTTTTTTGTCTGGGATATTCTCCCCAGAAGTTATTTTAAAAATAACTTCTATGACAAAAAAAATATTTTTTACCCAAGTGATGTAAGTGTGCGATTGTCTTAATATTACACACATCACAATATTTTAATTAACCCAAGGTCTGGAGTGAAGATGGAATATACGGGTCCACTCCTTCTTGTACCACCCCCACACAGGGTCAAAATTTTAAATATATTTATGAAGCTCATTTAACACAAAATTAACATCCGATTATATTCAGACTTGGCACATCTCAATATTTCTATCAACACAAGATCTGTTATAAAGATGGTAGAGATCGGATCATTCCCACTGGTACCTCCCCCCCAACAAAGGGTCAAAGTTTTGAAGAACTAAAACAATTAAAAAATCCTAAATAGGCATCCGGTTCTCTTTAAATCACACACATCACTATATTTTTATCAGCCCAAGGTCTGGTGGGAGGATGTCAGTCCTTCCGGTCCTCCTCCACAAAGGATACAATTTTGAGTATCAATGAAGCTCATACAACGGGAAAATAATATCGGATTCCATTCAGACTTGGTACATCTCAATATTTCCATCAACACAAGATCTGTTATAAAGATGCTAGAGTTCGGACCATTTCTTCTGTTACCTCCCCCATAAAGGGCCAACAGTTTGAATAATCATTACCAAATGCTAGGGGTATATATCTATCGGCAAAACCGACTGATACTATTTTAAATATTTGATAAACATTTACTTTGTATTAGGGTGGGAGCATCTCACCCGATTTCTCACCACTTCCCTTAGACTCCCCCAAGACCCACAATCTTATTTCATCATTAGAGCTTACACCACAATGATTATCTTCGGTCACGTTTTGGGAAATTTGAAATTTTGAAGACTTGAAATTTGAAAGAATTTGTAAAAAGATCATTGCATTCGTTGGAAAATATTCGACGAGAGTTCTATGCGTAGGCACGTTTTTATACATTTATGGTCAACATTTGGGCTTTGCTTGACAGTACTGAAAGTATATAAAAGTGCTCAAATTATGTGTTCGGAACTTTAGAGATGATATAAGTTCTGAATACATAATTTGAGCACTTTTAAAAAATTTCAGTACGCAAATAATTTTTTTATGTTATATTAAAAAAATAGATTAATTAGAAATAAAATTACTGTTTAGTTTTGGTCAGAAATCCACAAAAATATTTCAAAAGTAACACTTTTACGACTATTAACATTCGGTGAATGTTTTGTGTGTAGATACGTTTTTGTACATTTATGGTCAACATTTGGACTTTTGCTTTACGGTACCGAGATGATATCATCTCTAGAGTTCCGAACGTATAATTTAGAAACTTCTAAAAAAATAATTATTTTTTCATATTATATTATAAAATTAGAGTAATTAGATGAGCTCCAATGTGTTACACTTTTACGACCATTGACATTCGAGACACGTATTTCAAAATTTAAGTAGGAGCTGGATTTTGAAATATTTTTTGATTGATTTTTTGACGTATTGCTTTTCTAAATTTCCAATGAAAGTACTTTTAAATTTGGATACATTTGCTGTTTACGTTGACAATTAATACTGGCACAAATACACTTTTATCTTTTCCACAATCGCTTCGATTCCAGCAAAGAAGTATATTTTTTTTGGTATGGACTTGACTGAATTTCTATAACTCTTTGCTTTTTTTGGATGAAAACTATTATTGCCAACAAATGGTTATTAAATGGATTCTATTTTCAAAGTTCTTTTTCGTTGACGTGGAATTTTCATTTTTTTTTTTTTGCTGTTTTCAAAACTTTTTCCAAATTACGAAAAATATCAAAAGAGAATCTAGACCAATGTGTAGGCGAAACTGAGGCAATGACGGTGATTACGGCTTTCTATAGTGTAATCAAAAGAAAATTTAACAAAACTAAAAAATATTGCCTCCGCCCGTCCGTTCGTCCGTCCGGCCTTCTGTCCCGCGATCGGTCACTGTAAAGATCGCGCGATATACATATGTGTACATACACGTTTGGCAAAGAAAAAAAAATCAGCAATACTCCCACACCCACCTACCCAACTACCTACCTAGCAGCAGACGAAATGTGAATCGAATATGGATGTATCAGCCTCCCGGTGCCCCCGCCATTAAATCTGTCGTTATGACCATACATTCGCCTCTTCATGCACCCGTCCGTCCGTCCGTCCGTCCGTTCATCGGTACATACAAACACAAGAGGAGAAGGATGTACAAAAAAAAAATAGAAAAACAAATAAAATAAACACTACGAAATATTTCCAAAAATAATTGAAAACATTTCTAAAAACAAATTCAAAATCTTCTTTCTACTGCGCTCACTCGAACACACACACAAACTGAAAATTATTCACACAAACTGTTTTGGTTAGGTTTCGCATGGCATTTGGATTGGGACATTGAACATTCACACAAACCGAAAATTATTCACACACATTGTTTTGGTTTGGTTCGGTTCGGTTTCGCCGCCTTTGGAAAACAATATTTTCACATGCACATGTATACATGTGTCTCATATGCGGGGGGTGTCACTGTATGGGTGGGTAAACATTTAAAATATTTAAATTTCGACAAGGCAAGCGGAGTGAGAGTGAACCACGGAGCGGAAACGGACATGCGCACAACGTTGAAACGCCTAACAAGCATTTCCCACAACTTGGAGAATAATCCTCCAACAGATTTTGCTCTCCGATTTGGGATCTCTCATTCAAATGATCTCTTTCAAGATCGACAACTTACAGGTCAAGATGCATTCACACACACACATACGGACCAACACTTATGAATATTGGAGAAAAATGTTCAAATAGAGATTTCAAAGAAAAGAAAAATTAGAAAATTTTCTTGTTTGTGTTTTTTTTTTTTTTGCTATAAATATTGCCGCACATAAATTTGGATAAAATAAATAAAAACGTGTATATGTATTGGTGTGTACATAAAAAAGTCCAAATACATATGTACGTAGACCAATGTACATACATATGTATGTATGTACTTCCAAACGTATGTACTTGAGGATAATAAATTTTACTGGCAATATTCTAAAACAGCATACACAAACAACAACAACAAAATCCCCAATCTCACCAAGAAATATTTTGGGCGAATAAATTCCATCACCACTGTAATGGAAGAAGAATTTTTATATTATTTAGCAATAGGATGCAATTAGCTAACAACTAGGCGTCGCTAGGCTATTGATGTGCCAAACACATACGCACGCACACACATACACGGTTGTGGATATTTCTTACCACTAATCGGATTCGTATTATTTCGATTATTTTATAGCTTTGCCATATATCATTCAATTTAAATATTTTCATGTGTTTGTTTATGGGTGGATAATGAAAGTTCGATACATAATTGCTTGATAGACAGAGTTTTAAATGGGGTTTGATTTCAGATCGAAACCCAAAAGGTTTTAAAAACAATTAAAATAATATCTGTCGGGTTTTCCAATAGATGTATACCACCAGATTTGAGTTATGGATTATTAAAACTGTTGACCCTTTATGGAGGAGGTTCCGAAGCAGTTGGCCAACATTGACCTAAGACTAATATAAATATTACAACGTGCCAGATTTGGACTATA